GTTTACTTTCCCAATAACAGCGAAAGTAGTATCTGAAAATCAAATTCCTTAGCTAGCAGAGGCTGGTAATCAAGTATTCTTCCCTACTATTTTTTACAGAAAAACAAATAAATAATGGCCACTATCACCCTAACAATTTTCTTACTTCTACATACACATATAAATCCAAAAACAGTTTTCTGTGCATGTACTGATGTGCATCAAGGTATATATTTTAGGTGTAATTCTGCACTCTCCTTTTCTTCAGAAAACGTTAATGTTAATGGTGTGTATAAGTCCACTTTTTTCCTTTTAACGTCTCTGAGGTTTTCCATCATGTGATCATACCACATACATTTATCCACATCCCCAATTAATGGTCATCTTATTTGTTTCTGGCCTCATGAAACCCATTTATTTTGTGTATGCATTTCCTAGAGCCATTCCACTTCCTGGTTATTTGCACTTAATGTATTTGGCCTTGAACCTATCTGACTTCAAACTCCACTCAAACATTCCTAACTCAAAATACAGCAGATTCTAATTGCCAATTTATAGGATATACAGGAGACTGAGAAACACATCAAACCACACCAAAAGGATGTAATCAGCAAAATCCTGCAAAGAAACCTTACAGGATAAAATGCTTCCTTCAACAAAAATTGCAAGGGGTGAAAGAGAGAGATATGAAAGGGGAATCTGTAGTTTAAAAAAATAAAGACTATGCTTCAAAGGATACCATCAGGAAAGGGAATAAACAACCCATAAAAGGGGGGGGGAAATGTTTATAAACAACATATCTGATAAAGGACCTATATCCAGATTATACAGAATTCTTATAGCTCAACAGAAAGGAAAACAACCTATTAAAAATGGGCAAAGACTCTCACCAGCCATTTCTCCAGAGAAGATATACAAGTGGCCAATAAGCACATGAAGCAATGTTCAACGCCATTAGTCATTAGGGAAATGCAAATCAAAACCACAAAGAGACACCACTTCACAGCCACGAGAATGGCAGACCTTGCAGAAACCAGAACCGTCACGCAGTGCTGGTGGGAAAGGAGAACGGTGCAGCTGCCTTGGAAAAGTCCGACCGTTCCTCAAATGGACCCACCCAGCAGTTCCGCTCTTAGGTGTACACCCAAGGAAAACGAAAACATATACCACACAAAACCTTGTACGCGAGTGTTCACTGCAGCATTCTTCAAAATGTCCATCAACTCATGAAGGAATAAGCAAAATATGGCCTATCCAAGGCCTGGCTGCAAAAGCAGCGATGATTTTGCTGGAGGACCTGGAGAAAGAGCTCAATGAACCGTAGCATGAAATGGCAGCCTGCAGACACAGACACTGGCACCCGGCATGGTGGCTCAATGGTTGAGTGTCGACCTATGAACAAGGTCACGGTTTGATTCTCCAGTTCGACTCGCCATCAGGGCACATGCCCGGGTTGTGGGCTTAATCCCCAATAGGGGGCATGAAGGAGGCAGCCAATCATGATTCTCTCTCATCACTGATGTTTCAATCTCTTTCTCTCCCTCTCCCTTCCTCTGTGAAATCAATAAAAATATATTTAATAAAAAGAAGAGAGACAGTGGCTCCAGGGGAGCAGGCATCACTGAGCCTCCAGTCCCTGCCTGAGAAGCCTCAGCTCACATGGGAGCCAGGCTCAGGAGTCCCGCCCTGTTGGAGAGACAGACTGACCAGGACTGAGGAAGGAGAGTGGTGCGAAGGAAACAGTCCTGAGATAGTGGAGCGACATAGGAGAGTATTTTATGGAGACAGCTGGGAGGTGTCACACCAGGATGCCCAGCGTGGAGAAGCTGATGAGCAAAAGGCTCCGACAGAAGGGCCCTGGGGAAACCCCGTAGGAGAAAGACAACACGAATGTGATGAATGTGGGAAGAGCTTCACTCAGAGCTCAGGACTCATTCAACATCAAAGAATTCCCACTGGAGAAAGACCCTGTGAAGGTAATGAGTGTGGGAAAACCTTCTGGCAGAGTGCTGGCCTTTTTAATCACCGAGGAATCGGACCACTGTGAGGAGCGTGGGAAGGCCTTCAGTCAGAGTGCCAGCCTCATCCAGGACCAGAGGACCCACAGGGGAGAGAAGCCCCATCAGTGCAGCCGGTGCTGGAAGAGTTACAGTCGGTGCTCCTCACTCCTTTCGCATGGAGCACCAGAGAAGCCCTATGGGGAGCGGCCTCCCCAGTGCAGTAAATGTGGAAAAGCCTTCATTGACACTATAACCTAATCTGAGATTCAGAGCGTGGTCGAGCTAGTCTAATCCTTGCAATGTGCAAGTTTTCCAGTTCGCTGGCCACATCCTGTGAAGCAGGTGAACACTGGGAAATGCTTTTCTTCCGGTCTCCACTCAAGGTGTTTTGGAACAAATACTGACCTGTGGTGTGGACGCATCCTAAGAGGAAACTTAACAGGTTTTTTAAGCTATTGCTTTCCCTTCGGTTTCTTTACCTCTTCCTGGTTACTAGTCCATCCTCTTACTTATTCTCTTTCAGATGGCTCTAAACCAGTGGTTCTCAACCTTCCTAATGCCACAACCCCTAATTTCATTGTTACAAATTGAACATAATTAAAGCATAGTGATTAATCACAAAAACAATATGTAATTATATGTGTTTTCCGATGGTCTTAGGCGACCCCTGTGAAAGGGTCGTTTGACCCCCAAAGGGGTCGCAACCCACAGTTTGACAACCGCTGCTCTAAACCTTCATAACAATGTAATGAACCGTGCCGCTCTCGCCAACAGGCTTGAAAGCTCTGTACATGCCTGGATTTAAGACCTAAAGTCCACAAAGAGCTCTGCTGATGTTTTCTGTGACCCGCACTTGCATGGGACACCTCCGCCTACTGCTTCCCTGACACCTACATGACACTCCTTTTTTAATGCTGGATGTGTAAATTTTGGCAAGTTATTCACCTTTCTATGCTCCAGTTTTATCATTTGGAAACGATGGATTACAATATAAGTACCTCATAATGTTTCTGAAAGGATTTAAAAATGTAATCCAGATGAAGCTTAGTGTCTGACAGACTAAGCACTCAATAAATATTCACTATTTGTATCATAACTGTTGACCCCAAGAAGGAATATACCTGCCAAAAAGGACTTCCTAGCAATTAATTGGGTCCAAATTCAGAACCAGAGTCTAGCAGCCGTTGCTGACAGAGGCCATACATCTCAGGGAAAAGCCACAGACTGAGGGGCCAGCCTCCTGCACTGTGTGTCTGTCAGCAGAGCTGGGCTTATAAAGGAGTTCCTGGGATGGCACTTTGGCCAATGGGCCGAGACCTGCCCCATCCAATAAGAGCTGCACAGCTATAGCCTTATTTGCACCTTTACTGACCAATCAATCAGTAGATCCATAACAACCAACCAGGATGTGCAATTCCAACCTATTAGGACAGTGCTATTTGGACCAAATAAACTGCAAATTTGGATTCCTCATTTGCTTAAAAATGGACCAATCAGTGACCATTGTGGGCATTTTATATAAGTGGGCCTCCCCTTTGTCTCAGTGGAATGCACTTTCAGTTTCTGGCCATGGCTGCACTTCTCTGGTTTGCAAACTACTCACCTGAATAGTCTCTCCTTTTAATGCACACACACAAAAATTGTCATATTCATATAATGGAATATTATTCAGTCACAAAAAGAAATGAAGTACAGATATTATGCTACATTATGAACCTTGAAAACATACTTCATGCAAACAGCCAGACACAAAAGGCCACATGTTGTATGATTAATTTATATGAAATATACAGAATAGAAAATTCAGAGAGAGAAAATAGATTAGTGATTGCCTGGGGCTTAAGGGAGGGAGAATGAGGAATGGCTGCTAATGGGTACAGGGTTTCTTTGGGAGTAATGAAAATGTTCTAAAATTGATTATGATGATGTTTGCAGAACTCTGTGAATATACTGAACACTAAAAATATAACAAACTTAAAAATTAGAGAGAGCCCTAAATGGTTTGACTCAGTGGACAGAGCGTCGACCTGCGGACTGGGGGGTCCCAGGTTCGATTCCGGTCAAGGGCATGTACCTTGGTTACGGGCACATCCCCAGTAGTAGGTGTGCAAGAAGCAGCTGATCGATGTTTCTCTCTCATCGATATTTCTAACTCTCTATCCCTCTCCCTTCCTCTCTAAAAAATCAATAAAATACATATTTTTTTAAAAATTAGAGAGAGACCTAAAAGATTTATAAGACAAACCAATTTGCATTGTTTAAACCTTATTTAGATCCTGGGTTTTAAAAAATATTTAATATAATTCTATAAAATAAAATTACAAAGCAAATATGGAAATTTGAACATTGAGTATCTGATATTAATGAATTATTACCAATTTCTCATAGATATGGAAATGGAATTGTGTTTTTAAAGGAGTACCTGTATTTTTTTGGATTTTTCTTCATATATTTTTATTGATTTCAGACAGAGAAGGAGAGGGAGAGAGAGAGAGAGAGAGATAAAAACATCAATGATGAGAGAGAATCACTGATCGGCTGCCTCCTGCATGCCCCCTACTGGGGATCGAGCCCATAACCCAGGCATGTGCCCTTGCCAGACAATCTGCAGGCCAATGCTCTATCCACTGGGCAAACCAGCATAGGCAGAGTACCTGTATTTTAGAGATACATATTAAAATATTTACTGGTGAAATGATACCATTTATAGGATTTGCTTCAAAACAAACTGGAGAGAGAGGTAGAAAGTAAATAGGTGAAGTGGTCATGAGTTAATAATTGCTCACTAAACTATTCTGCCCACTTCCCTGATGTTTAAAAGTTTCTATTAATAAAAAGAACAGAAGAAAGAAAATATATCCATGTCATGTTATTTTGTTGTGTGCCAATTATCAATCCCACAGGTGGGAAAACCCTATTTCAACTGTAGTCTCAAGAAATGATGGATGGAAACCTGTATGTGTATTATTTACAATTTGAGGAAATAGTTTTACTTTTAAAAAAAGAAACGATTGAAAATACCTTGGACTTCCCCTGCCATCCTCAGCAAACACTTTTTCTGCCTCAATTACAATCTTTCCAAAAGAAGGCTTTCATTCTTAATGCTTTTTCCTTTAAAAAAACAAAACAAAACAAAAACATTTGTTGGTTTCCTTTTGTTTGGCCTTAAACCTAATTATTTTTTAATTAAATTTTAAAACTGATCTTTGATATTAAGTTGCTCCTTAAAAGATACATTGATTCATTTCCCCTGGCTTGTCAATGTCACTTACTCCTCTGAGGAAGGCAGAACTGTGAGTCTGAGACAGAGCCTCCTTGGTCACAATAAAAGGAAGAGCTTTTTAGGGCCCAGAACTGGGCCACAAAGCAACCCCACCAGAGCCCCATCTCCTTATGGAAACAACAATAACAGCTCTAATTTCCTGACTACATACCATGGAGAGGCACAGTACCAATCACGTCACCTGAGTAATGTTATTTGCTCATTGCAACAAGCCTAGAGACAGGTACCATTATGTATCCCCATTTTGCTAGGACTTCCAGAATGATCAGGCAACTGACTCTATTTAAATCACACAGCTTTATGTGGCAGGACCAGGATTTGAGTCCAGGCTGTCTACTTCCAGGGCCTGCACTTACTCCAGACTATATTACTCTATATTACCTCCTGGGTGGACACCAGCTTATCACATCTGTGTTGTGGTATTACTAATGTTTAAGGACCAGAAAGTTTAATTAAACCAAAATTCATTCACTCTGGACCCAGAAAATGGACTGTCTCCCAGGAAATCCCCCCCCCCCATCCCCAGTTCCCTCATCAGGACCATCAATTTCACAAATCTTACTCTTGAATTAACAAAAAGAAAAGCACCTAACTTGGGAAACAATCCACAGAGATCATTTAAAAGTTAAAAATAAAAAGAGATATATTGCCTTAGCCTTGCCCACTCTCGATATCCAGAAAATGCCTGGGTGATGGGGCTAGCGCTAGGGCTAGGGCTGGACTTTTCAGTGAAGAGAAACCAGGCAGAAGGAGGGTAGGCGAGTCCTCCTAAGTGAATCCAGATCCCAGTCAGGGTGAGCTGAGAGACTTCCCTGAGCCACTCCCATCTCCACATGCAACACCCAGGAATGACTTAGCACCAACACAATAACAGAGGAAACGACTGAGAATCCCCCGCCAAGTCTCAGGACTAAACTTCAGAAACACCCTGGGGACTATCTCCCAGGTAACTGCCTCCCCCTCTCAACCTCCCCCCCAAAACCGACCTCCTCCTCTTGTGGGAGGGAGAGGGGCGGACTGGGCAGGGCAAGCAATGGTCCCCAGACGGGCTCAACATTGCACAAGGGACGGCTTGCAGGACAGGACAAGGGAGATTTCAAATGATCTAAGAAAATGAAAGGGCTGGAGTATTAAAAAAAAAAAAAAAAAAAGGTAAGAACCAAGGACCAAAGTGGGAAACAAAGTAACTGGGAACAGCTGGTGACTGGAACAGCAAAGCACCGGGGGCAGGGGAATAAGAGGGGGGCCGGGAAAACAAAGAGGCTGGAGAATTCCCAGTCCTCTTCGGACCTGGAGCTTCGGGAACACGGGGTGCAGAGGTCAGCAAACTGCGTGTTTGGAGAGGAAGCTCAGCCTGTGTGGAGGCTGGAGAGGCTGGAGACCGAGGGCCTGAGTGCGCGGATGACTGGGGCGCAGGGGGAGCCTGAGCTGGGACTGGGACTCAGGAAGTCTACGAGTGAGCTGGAGCTGAGACACAGGAGGTCTGAGAACTGGGGGTCCGGTAACTGGGCACAGGGTCGGAGGGCTGGGAAGGGCTGGCGGACGGGGGTACAGGTGTCGGAGGACTGGTTTTAAGTGATGGTCAAGGAGTCAGGGGACGAGGAGTGCTGGGCGCGGAACGCCCGAGAACTGCAGGTGACCAGGGCAAGAACCGGGTTGGTTACACGGGGTCAGGAAACCGAGCGCTGGGACGCGGGTCTGGGAGCGGGACGCGGGGACTAGGGGCGAAGTGTGCAGCTGAAGCGTGGTCTGTTTGAGCGAGTGGCAACTTTTGTTTTAATAAAAACTGGCTTAATAGGTGGAATCTGGCAACATGTTAGATACGCGGGGCCGGGAGCCGGGAGGCGGACTGGAACCTCCGTGGAGACACGTGGTGGTCCGTCCGTCCTGGGGTCCAGCGGGATGATTAGGACGCCTCCCCGAAGGGCTCACACCTCTGCCCGAAAGCCAGACAGTAAACAAGGAAGGACGGAGATGAGGCGACGCCAGACAGCACTAGAAGCTGAGAAAGGAAGAGGAATGGGCGAAAGCGTGGGGACGGGGAGAGGGGCAGTCCCGGAGGGCCTCTCTAAGGAGACGACTTCAGAGTTGAGACCTGGATAAGGAGACAGCGGGGAAGATCTGCAGGAAAGGAACAAGTGCAAAAGGCCCTGCCTAGAGGGATTGGCTGGAGGGCGAGGATGAGCGAGAAAAGGGTAGTAGAGATCAAGAGTTGGGTAGAGGTGGGGGAAAAAACAAAACGAATAGCAATACTCATATCTGACCATTTATATCATGGAATACTATGCAGCAGTAGAAAAGAAGAGTCTCTTACCCTCTGAGACAGCATGGAAGGACCTGAGCGTATCATACTAAGTGAAAATAAATCAGTCAGAGAAAGACAAGTATCACATGATCTCACTCATGTGGAATCTAATGAACAAAATAAGCTGAAGAAGGGAGTGGATCCAGAGACATGGAAGCTTGGAACCAAGTGAGGAATCTCGGAGGGAAAGCGGGGGTGGGAGGAGGGTAAGTGGAGGGAGGTAATCAACCAAAGACTTTGTATGCATATATGCATAACTCATGGAAACAGACAATAGGGTGATGAAGGCCTGGGGTGAGGGGCGGG